TGATCGACTTTGTCCCCCGTCCCCCATCCCTCTCATTTCAGACCCCGTACACCTCCAATATAGCTGTTCTGTTGTGCACATCCAATGCAAGCGCCCGTCTCAACTTTCATGATGATGCGACTTGCACAGGACAACTCGATCATGGACAACATCGACTACAAAGCGAAGGTCGGCTTCGTGCCGGCTGGCGACGGAGGCCGAGTCACAATCGTCCTCTCGTTTGCGTCGGAATCCCCTTCGCTCCTCGGAGCCGAGGTGCCTGTCTGTGCGCGTGTTCATCCTTTCAGCGCGATCTTCCCGTCCCAACGCCGCCGTATCGTCCCTGGCCCACAGGCGTGCGGCGCCAAGAACGCCCTCGTGAAGGACGTCCCCGCAAAGTCTGGCGCGGAGGCCTCCGACGAGAGCATCATCAAGAAAGACCTGGCCGCGGCAGAGGCGCCCGCCGCGGGCACGGTCGACTCGGGCAAGGCCAAGGCCACTTCGCTCCTCGGAGCCAAGGTGCGCGTGCGCACGCCAGGATCGTGATCAGCCCTCTCCCGCTGTACTACTCTCTTTCGCCCACAGGCTTGCGGCGTCAAGAACGACGTCAAGGACATCTCCGTGGCGACGTCTGGCACGGAGGACGTCCTCAAGAAGGACCCGGCCGCGGAAAAGGCGCCCGACGCGGGCGCGGTCGACTCGGACAAGGCCAAGGCCATGTCCATGTTCGCCTCCCACGCGCCGCGACCGACCGCCGTTTTCTGGTCCAAGTTTACGCCCCTCAAGAAGGACATCCATGCGGCAGAGTCTGGCGCGGAGGCCTCCGTTGACGAGACCGGCGCCATCAAGAACGACCCGGCGCTCAAGCCGGCCACCAAGGTCGCCACGGCCCTCAAGCCGGCGGAGGCCGGCGGCGCACCGCTGCCGTCGATCAAAACGTTTCCGGAGGAGAAGCCCGCCGCCCCGGCGGCGAGCGCCTGGCATTGTGCGCGCCGGCGTCTGCCGACCCACTCTGTGACCCCATCCCGCGTTCGACGCGTAGGGCGACGCCGACTGGAACGTTTCGACCATGGAGAAACCAGAGGAGACGGCCGCCCCGGCGGTGAGCACCTCCCAGCACCGTTCTGTGCACACACGGGTATTGCGGGGACACGCGAGTCCTACAGGCGGGCACTTACATTGACCCTGTGACCTCTCGTCTGCCGCACGGCAGGTCATCGACGAGTGGAAGACCCCCTCCCCGCTCCGCAAGATCGAGCGCAAGGGCGAGCCCAACCTGATCGACCGCTCCAAGAAGACCACCAAGAAGACCACCCCGATCGGCCGCGTCACCCCAACGGCGCCCAACCTGGTCGACTGCTCCAAGAGCACCACCCCGACCGACCCACCGACGGCCCCCAACGGCGTCACCAAAAGCGCCCCGGCTCTCACGCCAGTGGCGACCGGCGGCGCGCCGCTGCCGTCGAGCGAGGAGGTTCCGGAGGAGACGCCCGCCGCGGCGGCGAGCGCCTTGCATTCTGCGCCGTGCGTCTGCCGACCCACCCCTTGACCCACCCCGCTTTCATTGATGCGTAGGGCAACGCCGACTGGACCGTCTCGGCCAAGGAGTCTCCGCCAGCGGAGAAGCTCGCCCCGGCGGTGAGCGCCTCGCACGCTGCGGTTGTAGTTGCGGAGCCTCAACTATTGACGCACCCACCGCTTGCGCGTGCGCAGGGCATCCCCGACAGGACCACCCCGTCGAACCCGCGCCGCAAGAAGGGGCGCAAGGGCGCGTCCGCCCCGATCGTCCGCACCAAGAGCATCGCCCCGGTCGGCGGCAACAACCGGTTCGTGGCCCTGCTCGGAATGGACGGCAACGAGGGCATCCTCGGCGGCACTGGCAAGGTGCCCCGCGGCTCCACGCCGTCGACCACAGACTCGGTGCTCGCCGCCTGCATATATGCGGCCTCCTCCCCCGCTCGCCGCTCAAACCGCCAGTCTCGTGCCCTCCTGTTCAGGGCGCGACGGCCAACGTCGAGACGACCACGATCACCACGGCCGGGGGCTCTACCTCCGGCCGGTTCTCGTGGCCAAAGTCCTACAACTTGCTCCGCCTGTTTGGCATCCTCGCGCTCTGCCTCGGAGCCGCGTTTGCGCACTCCTCGTACTCTGCCACCTCGCTCCTCTCCTCGCAGCGGTACGAGTCCCCGACTTCCTTTCCCGCAGTCACAACGCCGATCGCGCCGTTCACGCCGGCATCGCCCAACGGCTTCTGCGAGGTTGGCGGCAACGACACCAGCTCGTTTGCAGCCATCGTGTCGTCGGACAGCGCGCCCGCCAGCCACCCGGTGCGTGCTCGCTTGCGCGCGTGCCTCGGAGCCGCGTTTGTGCACTCCTCGTACACTGCCACTTCCGCGCTTCTCTCCTCGCAGCGGTACGACTCCCCGTGGCCAACATCGCCTCCCGCAACCGTCGCAAAGCCGCTCACGCCGGCATCGCCCAACGGCTTCTGCGAGGTTGGCGACACCACCTCGTTTGAAGCCATCGTCTCTTCGGACAGCGCGCCCGCCAACCACCCGGTGCGCGCTTCGCGCGCGTGCTAGTATCCGCACCGCGCCAGCTCGTGACTAACAGCCCGCGCGCTGATCAGCACGGGCACGAGGACGGGCACTCGTGGGGAGCACTGATGGACGAGATCGACAAGGCGGTGGGCGAGCCGTTGCATCTGATTGGCGAGCCGCTGGCGTCCATCGAGGACGTCTACGAGAAGCGGCCGGTGAGCGCCCCTCTGGCTGCTTCTGTGTGCGAGCGTTGTACTCTGCTGATGGATCGCCTGTGTGCTTGCGTGTGTAGGGCGAGGCCGACTTGGAGACCGTCCCGGCCTCGCGCAACAGCACGGAGCGCAAGGTCGAGCCCGAGGTCGACTCTACGATCGGTCCCGTCTACAGCAACAGGACGGAGAGCGTCGCTCGGGGGCGCGACACCGTCCTGCCCGTGAACGACACGTCGCCCGAGTTGCGGCCCGCCGACGCTGGGAAGCCCGGGATGGTGCGGAAGCTGGTCGAGACTGGTCTCGGCGCAGGGGCCTCCTTGCTGCTCGGGCGAGCCGGCATGAAAATGACCGCCTCACTCGCCTCGCGCGAGAAGGCGACCGACGCCCTCGTCCGCATGAGCGCCGCCGCACTGCTCGTCGGCAAAGCGGCCGCGGCTCCTCCGCCTCCGGCTCCGCCATCTTCTTGCGACACGGCGCTGGACCTCTCCACTCAAACCTCTCCGTTGTCATCGAGCACCGTCGGCGCTCTTGAGACGTATGGCACATCCTGCGGCGGCTCAGGCAGTGAGAAGATCTTCTACGTGGAGGTGCCGGCGGGAGGTGAGCTCACGATCGGAATGACGTCCAACACGTACGACTCGAGGCACGAGACGCGATGGGGCGGGAGCTGCCCAGGCGCCAATCTCGTCGCATGCACCGACGACCCAGACACCTTGCAGCACTTGTGGATCAACACTCAGGGCTCGACTCAGACGGCGTTCTTCATCGTGGACGCATACTCGTCCGGCAGCGGCGATTTTGTACTCGCGTGGAATGTCACGCCTTTCCCGCCGCCTCCGCCGCCTCCGTCGCTTCCGCCGCTTCCGCCGCCTCTGTCCCCGTCCCCGCCCCCGCCGCCTCTGTCCCCGCCTCTGTCCCCGCCTCTGTCTCCGCCGCCGCCGCCTTCGCCGCCTTCGCCGCCGTTGCCACCCTTCCTGCCGCCGCCGCCCTCTCCGCCGCCGCCCTCTCCGCCGCCGCCGTCACCACCGCCGCCGCCGTCACCACCGCCGCCGCCATTCCCGCCTCTGTCCCCGCCTCTGTCCCCGCCTCTGTCCCCGCCGCCGCCGCCTTCGCCGCCGCCGCCGCCGTTGCCACCGTTCCTGCCACCGCCGCCCTCTCCGCCGCCGCCGTCACCACCGCCGCCGTCACCACCGCCGCCGCCGTCGCCGCCTAGGTCCCCGCCTAGGTTCCCGCCTCTGTCCCCGCCGCCGCCGCCGTCTTCGCCGCCGCCGCAGTCGCCGCCATTCCTGCCGCCGCCGCCCTCTCCGCCGCCGCCCTCTCCGTCTCCGTCGCCTTCTTCGCCTCCGCCCTCGCCGGCGCACCCGCCCAAACCTCCGCCGCCGCCGCCGCCGCCGCTGTCGCCGCCGCCCTACCCTCCGGACAAGGCACCCCTCCCGCCGCCGCCGCCCCCGCCGCCGTCGCCGCCGCCGCTGCCGCCGCCGCCCCCCCCCTCGTCACCGCCGCTGCTGCCACCGCTGCCGCCGTACCCGCCTGAGATGGCACCAACGCCGCCCCCGCCACCCCCGCCGCCCCCGCCACTGCTGCCTCCGTCGCCAATGCAGCCATTCGTCACCTCCATGATCGAAGTGGGCGGCGGCTCGTGGCAAGGGGAAGTCTCCTGGTCGCTCGCGTGCGACGGCCTCGCCGACCCCATCACGGATGGGGCACCCTACGAGGCGATGCACGCGGTGCCGCCGGGCGTTTGCACCCTCGAAATGATCGATTCGTACGGCGACGGGTGGAACGGAAACATGTGGTCAGCGCCAGGCTGGACCGATGGGACTTTCACTTTCGACTCTGGGTACTCGGGCATCGCGACCTTTGTCGTGGCTTACGCACCGCCTTCCCCTCCGCCGCCGCCGCCGCCGCCGTTGCCACTGCCGCCTTCGCCCTCGCCACCGCCCTCCCTGCCGCCGCCGCCCTTCCCGCCGTCGCCGCCGTCGCCGCCGTCGCCGCCGTCGCCGCCGTCGTCGCCGCCGTCGCCGCCGTCGCTGCCACCACTACCGCCGCTCCGGCCCAACGAAGCGTCCGCAGCGACCGAGAATGAGCTTCGCTCCTTGATTGACAAGGCTGTGAGCGAGGGCCGGGAAGCATACATCTTCGTCGCTCCTGGCGCCCACATTGTGCTCGGGTCCACGCCGTCGCCGCCGCCGCCGCCGCCGCCGCCGCCGCCGCCGTCGCCGCCGTCACCGCCGCCGCCACCATCAGCACCGGCGCCGCCGTCACCACCACCGCCGCCGTCACCACCGCCGCCGCTGCCGCCGCCACTTGCTCCCCTTGCGTGGTCCTGCCCGTTCGACGATTCGGTAAATTGCAATGGCGTCGCCGTGTGCAACGACGCCACGTACACCCAAGAGTACTTGCAGCTGACGCCCGCGTCCAACGGAAAGAACGGCTTCGTGCAACTACCATCTGCGTGGTACGCGGGATTCAGCCTGACGTTCGAGTACTTCTTCACAAGCGATTCTGGAGCTGACGGGGTGGGCATCGTGTATTGGCCGTGCCCCACCAGCGCGCCCTCGTGCGCGGATTGGAACCATGCGTGGGATAGACCTGAGAACTTCATGGGCGACACGGGCGGTCTTGCGTGGGGCCTGAGCGAGTACCAGGGAAAGTCCCGACTCGCGCACGGCGGGACGATTGACGAGGTCGCGTGGAACGATCAGTCGTATGCCGGGGCGTGGCACAGCCTAGCACTCACCTACGACGGCGCTCTGCTGAGCGGCTCGATCGACGGGACGTTGATCCATGAGAACAGCGTGTCGACCGCACCGGTCATGCACGACTGGTGCCTCGTCGTGGGTGCACGGACTGGCGGAGCCAACAACGAGCACGCAATCAGGAACCTGCAGATAAACGCAGGGGACGGCCCTCCAGCACCCCCCTCGTCACCGCCGTCGCCGCCGCCACCCCCCTCGTCCCCGCCGTCGCCGCCGTCACCCCCCTCGTCCCCGTCGCCGCCCTCATGGGAGTCTTGGAACGTCGTCATGTCTGAAAAAATCGTGCAGGCAACGGGTGCCGCTAGCAACTCCGATCTCACCGCCAACCTCGCTTTCTATACGGCGGCGCGCACGAGCGTGCAGACCATCAGCTCCAGCTTTGGCACATACTCCCTGGCACACAATCAAGACTTCAACAAGGCCAGCACGCTGTGGCACAACGATGGACGCGGCAATGAGTGGTATCCCTTCTTCGGCAAGAGCTCTCTTCCCAGCGGCGATGACCTAACGGGCTCAGGCTCTGTGTACGACATGGTAGGTCACCCCTCTAGCAGCACCACCCATGCGGCTGTTTGCCGCTGGACGGCCCCAGCGGCGGGACAGTACTCTCTCGACTTCGTGGGCGTGCTCCGCCGCACCGAGTGCGGCGACTCCCTCCGACTCACCGTCCACGACAGCAGCGGTGCGGTCCTCTTCGAGCAGACGAGCGGGCCTCCATACGACCCATTGCCCACGCCAACCACCAATGTGGTCATCGACTCGCCATTAATGCTCGCGGCGGGCGACCATGTTTACTTTGCTCTCGATAATGTCGGCTCCTACAGTTGTGATGCGGGCGTGATCCGTTGGAGGCTCACTCTGGTGGCTCTGCCGCCACCACCGCCACCACCAACGAGGCTGCCTGCATCGTCCCCGCCTCGACCGCCCTCGTCTCCGCCCCCCTCGTTTCCGCCGCTGGCACCGATCTCTCACTGCTTCAAGCGTGACGGCCACTGCGCTAGCGGCTGGATAGGCCCCAACTTCAATCAGCCAAGCGTGGGCTTTTGTGCAGAACAGTGCAGGGGCCGAGCCGGTTGCGGCTTCTTCGCCTACAATCCCACAAGCGCGAACTGTGCCGTCTACTTGTTGGAGGATGGGTGCCCTGACGATGGTAGGTACATGGATCACACCACATACTACCTCGACTGCCCTGCGCCATCCCTTCCGCCGCCACCGTCGCCGCCCTCATCGCCAGAAGCTGGCCGCCGCGCCGCCGAAGTGCTCGACTCGTCGCTGGAATGCAGCGGCAACATCTCACTCGTTGTTCGCAGCGAAGGAGTCGGCGCGACTCTCGACGGCCAGGGTCGGTCGCGGCTCTTTTCCCTCTCTGGCGGCTGCAGCCTCACGCTCCAAGGACTAATGCTCGTCAACGGCTACTCCGAGGGAGACGGCGGCGCCATTCGAGGGTCGGGTGCGGGCTCCCTCAAGCTGGCCGACACGAGCATCAAGGATAGCGAGTCCGAAGGATTCGGCGGTGGCATCGCCATGACCGATAGCGGAGATGTCGAGCTCCACAAGTCCACCACGTCGGGTTGCCGCGCGCGGGGCGACGGCGGCGGCATCTCAATCCGGCAAGGCGGCGCGCTTGCACTTACCGACAGCAGTGTTACCCAATGCTCGGTGGAGGGAGGCGGTGGCGGCATCGCCCTGGCCGACAGCGGAGATCTGTCGTTGACTGACAGTGCCGTGAGCAACAGCACGGCCGCGAAACGCGGCGGAGGAATCCAATTCGAGAGCAGCGGGAGCATCGCAACTTTCCTGCGGTCTACTCTGAACGACAATCAGGCGGAGTCGGCCTCAGCCCTCTACTACAGCGGCTCCACGTCCACGCAGGGCTCGGTGGACGACTCGCGCTTCGTCGGCAACATCGCCAAGAACGCCGTGGGCAACATCGCCAAGAACGCCGTCACCATCACCGCGGCCTCCGAGATCTCATGGCACCCGTGCGCGTTGGGCGAGTACATGCCCATTCGTGGCGAGTTCGAGGGCGACGTGCGCGGCTGCAACGTCTGTCCTGAGCGATACTTTGGAAACGCCACCGATCTTGAAACCGCTGCGTGCAGCGGCATTTGTCCGCTCGGCCATTTCTGCGAGCAGGGAAGCGCGCTGCCTGTGCCCTGCCCGCCTGGGACACGCATGCCTCTGTTTGGAGCGTCAAGGCTCGAGGATTGCCTCACGTGCCCGCGCGGACAGTACCAGTCGGAGAGCGGGAAGGCGATCTGCACCGCCTGCCCTGACGGAACCTACTCCGCCAACACCGGGAGCTCAGACTGTAAGGACTGCGAGCCGGGCGGCTTCTGCGAGGTGGAGGACGGGAGCATGGTGCGGCAGGCATGTCCGGCGGGCAGGTACAATCCGGAAAGCCGCTCCACCTCAATTGAATCGTGCCTTCTCTGCCCTGCCGGCACCTCGAGCTCTGTCGCCGGGGCGACCAGCAACGCTACTTGTGTGCCTTGTCGCGCCGGCAGCATCGCGTTTGGGGTTGGCAACGAAGCCTGCCAGCGGTGCCCACAGGGCTCCTACCAGAGCGCGACCGGCGCGACCAGCTGCATCGATTGCCGACCCGGCCGCTTTTGCCCCGCGGGCGCGACGCTCGAGCTGGCGGCAACGTGCGATCCGGGCACGTATGCCAACGTGACGGACGACGACGGCGATCCCGACTGCTTCGACTGCCCGGTGGGATCGTCGTGCGGCGGCGGCGCGGCGCCGCCGGCGGAATGCTCGCCCGGCTCCGTCGCCGTCACCCCTGGACTCTCGAAGTGCGAGCGTTGTGAGCCCGGATCCTCTTCCGACGCCGGCAGCAACTCATGCAGCGAGTGTCTTGCCGGCACTTACGCCGCCAACTCTGGCCAGGGCGAATGCACTCGCTGTCCTCATCCCCTCAGTAGTGGGAGCAGCGCTGTCAACTGCTCCATCTGCAAGGAGGACTTCTATTTGAAGAACGTCGATGTGCGCGCTCAGATATTAAACAACCCGACCGATTACTGCAAGTCTTGTCCGCCAAACGCCCAGTGCCCGGCCGGCACCACTCTCGAGTCCCTCGTCGTCCCGGCCGGCTACTGGCGCGCCAGCTTCTCCTCCGCCGTGCTGACGGCGTGCCGCGCCTTTGGCGGGGGCGACAAGGCCGGCGAGGCGCGGTGCGCCGGCAACGAGCGCGGAGCCAAGCAGGCGTCTCGCCGTTTGGAGGCGGCGGGCTCGGACGAGTACTGCGCTTCGGACTTCACCGGCCCCGAGTGCCAGCTCTGCGCCGCGGAGGATCACTACCTCGTCGACGGCGACGAGTGCAAAGAGTGCGGAGCGCGCGGCGCCGCTGCGGGTCGCATCGCCGGCCTCGGCCTCGGCCTCTGCGTCGCTTGCAGTCTCGCAGCTTGGGCCTACAGCATGACGGCCTGGCGGGAGAAGCGCTTCATCGGCCCTATCCTCCGCTTTGCAGACCGCTCCGTCAAGTACTACGTCGGGGGCGGAATGACGGCCAAGGTCAAGATCTTGTTTGGCTTCTACCAGATCAGCACCGTGTTGTCCTCCACCTACTCCGCGCGGCTGCCGGAGGAGTACACTGGCTGGACCGACCGGCTGGCCAATGTGATCTCCATCGACTGGTCTGGCTTCTTCTTGCCGGAGCAGTGCCTCGGCTATGGTATGCGACTCCTCGTCAGCGCTCTCTCGCCCGTCGTCCTCATCGCCCTGCTCATGGGAACGGGAATCGCCCTGCGGCTCCACAGCTGGCGAACCGCGCCGCCACCGCGCCCAACGGAAGCATCGGGATCGGGACCGGGAGCCGACACCGGACTCGTGGAGGCATCGATGTCGATGGTTGAGGCACCGACGACGTCGGTGATGTCGGCGATGTCGGCGATCGCTGAAGCGATAGACACAGACGAGTCAACGGTATCTGCATCGCACGCGAGGCCGTGGTATGCAGAGGCGGCCCTCGGCCTGCTCGACCTCACGCCGGCCGGCCTTGTGCTCATCTTCTGCTTCGTGCCCTCCATTAGCGCCTCCATCTTTCGCTCGTGGTCGTGTCAGGCGCCTGCCGATGACTGCCGTTGCTCACCCTACCCCTCAGACCCCACCCCTCAGGCAACGTGCTGCTGATAGGCCTACACCATCTCTCCGCCAAACGAGCCCCTGGAGCAGGTCTCCTACATGCGGCAGGACGCGAGCGTCGAGTGCGGCACCGAGGATCACGAGTCCATCACCGACCTCGCCATCGGTTTCATCGTCGTCTGGCCCGTCGGCTCGCTTGTCCTCTTCACGTCGCTCCTCGCCGCCTGCTACAAGCCGCTGCAGGCCAAGTCGCCGAATGCTCTGACGCGGGCCACCGCTTTCCTCCACTGGGAGTACAAGAAGACCTGGTGCTGGTGGGAGGCGGTCGAGCTGGCGCGCAAGCTCGTGCTGACGGGCTTCGTGCTGCTGATCCCGGAGAAGAACGCATTCCTTCGCCTCGTGGTGGCGACCCTGATCTGCTCGTGCTACGCCGTCGTGCTTGCCGTCGTGCAGCCGTACAAGCGGGTCGAGGACAACGTCCTCGCCGTCGCCACGAGCCTCGTGCTCCTCCTCCTCTTCCTCGGCACCAACTGGACCACCATCTTCCTCGGAATCGAGGAGCGGTACCAGGGAGCCGACCCCGCCGATGTCCTCGGCTTCCGCAGCCTCAATGTGATTGTCGACTCGATGATCATCCTCGTTGCAGTCGCGCTCGCCTTCTTCCTCGTCGGCGCCATCGTCGGCGCCCGTCGCGTCGCTAAGGTCCCCACGATCCGACTCGTCTCGACCAAGCAGCCCCCCCAGCTGAGCCTCGCGATGGGCCTCACGTGGCACCTCTTCAACAGCCACATCTGGTGAGTCATGGAGGGAGAAGAGGGAACGAAAACAGCCGGCGTGACCCCCGCCCCTTGCCCAAAACGAATAGGTCGACCGGTCAAGACGCCGTCAAGGTAATCAAGAATGAGCTTAAGCTCTTGATCCCCGGCATCAAGATTTTCCTCGATGTGGATGATTTGAAGGACATCGGGTCGCTGGAGGATTATGTTGACCGCACGCAGGTCATGCTCTTCTTCCTGTCAAAGGGCTACTTCCGCTCGAAGGCACTCCCCCAGCCCCTCCCTTTCCGAGAGTGCCTCGCTGTGTCGCCCACGACTACTCGTGCGCTCCTTGCCTGCAGAACTGCCTGCGCGAGATTCGGACGTCGCTCGAGAAGAGCAAGCCGCTCGTCCTCGTGCAAGAGGCGGACCCGGCCAAGGGCGGCGGGACGCTGCAGGCGCTCCCCGCCCGACCCCTGCTCGATGACCCTGCGGGGATTGCTCTCGCCACACACGGCGCTGAGGGGCGGTGTCGCCGCCGCCGCCGCACGCCAGCACTCACTCACGCACACCGTCGCTGCACGACTGCAGGAGTTGCGAGCACAGTGCCCGGAGGGCCTCCAGCCGGAGATCTTTGACAGAGGGTGGGCGCAGACGACGTGGCACCGCATCGACGAGTATCAGCGTGTCTCGCTTAAGATCATCTCCGAGGTGCAGCCACGGACAACTCCCTGCAGCTGTTCTGCCGTCGCCTCGACCTTGACCGCCGCCCCCTCGCACCTACCCTCAGGCGCTCCTCCTCTGCTCGCCACACTACATGAACCTGACCTCCCTCCCGCTCTTCATCCCGGGCGAGGTCCAGGGCCAGCCGATCTCCTTCTCCAAGTCCGTCGTGCTCTGGGCCTCGCCGTTCGATGAGGGCGCAGACGAGCTGGCCACCGAGCTCGCCACCAATTTCTCCGGTCTCACCGTCTCCACCGCCGAGGAGGCGGGCGACGCCACGCACATGCTTCTCAAGAAGGCATCCCAAAGAACAAAAGTGTAGTGCTAGATGGTGACGCATCTTTAATTTGTTTGTTGTTTTCAATATTCAAATCATCTCAGAACAAACACGCACATCCCAGCGCGGCGGAATAAATATAAAATATAAAATAATAAATTATGATCATAAATTATGAAGCACGGCATCGTGCACGGGGAGCAGCGCAACCGAGAGAGAGAGAGAGAGAGAGAGAGAGAGAGAGAGAGAGAGAGAGAGAGAGAGAGAGTAGTGGAGGAGGAGCGCGCCCCCTCTGCACCTCCGCCTCCCTTCCCTCGGGGTGCCGCCTTCCCACGAGCGATAGACTGGCGCGAGCGCCGAGGGCGAGCCGCTTGTCTGGGCAGGCGGGGGGGCCGCGGCCGCCGCGTCGCCGCCCCGCGCGGTGGCGATGGCACTCTGCCGCTGCATATGCGCGCCATTGGCAGGAAGGGCGACGTCAGCGAGGGCAGCGGAGAGAACGGCAGCGGAGTGGGACAGAGGGTAGCAGAGGCGAGGATTGTGGCAGCTGGGTTGATTTTTTTTTGATCAACACTTTTTCGTTTTCGGCGAGCATGAGCCAGGCCGGCCCTCCCAGCCCGCACAAGGCCGCGCTGATCATCCTCAACGACGCCACGCGCGCCGAGGAGGCGGGCGACGCTCCTACTGCGCTCTCGCTTTACGAGTCTGGCGTGCAGGCGCTGCTCGCCTCCATCAGGTGCGAGGTCGACGCGGGCGTCGCGCAGAGCATGCGGAGCAAAGCGGCAGAATGTCTCGAGCGCGCCGAGGCGCTCAAGCGCCGCGCCGGCCCTTCGAGAAGCAACAGCACGCGCACGCTGCAGCGGAGGCCGGCGCCGCTGCCTCCGAGGCCGGCGCCGCTGCCTCGGAGGGGAGGTGGCGGCCCTTCGGCGTCGCTGCCGGGTCCTTCGGCGGCGCGGCCCGTGGAGAAGGGGTCCGACGAGGCCGCAGCAGCGGTGGAGGGCGCCATCTTGAGCGAGAAGCCGGATGTGAGGTGGGACGACGTGGCGGGGCTCGCGGCTCTAGAAAGCGCAACACCGTCGTATTCTCCGGCAAGCGCCCGAGGAGACGCATGCTCAGTTGTCATGGACTCGCGTCCCTCCCACCCGCTCGACGCGGCAGGCTGCCACCGCACGAGACCACTCCCCCTCAGCTCGCAGCGTCCACACTCTCTAGGCTGGCGGACGCCAAGGCGGCGCTGCACGAGGCAGCGGTGCTGCCGATCCGGTTCCCCGACCTGTTCACTGGCGCGCGGCAGCCGTGGCGCGGCGTGCTGCTCTACGGCCCCTCGCCCGGCGGGCGGCTCGGACCCCGGTGCCGGCCTTCCCGGAGTTTTCCTCGGAAGCTTCCCGTAGGCCCTCCTGGGACGGGAAAGTCACATCTCGCCAAGGCGGTCGCTACGGAGGTGGCCGCGACCTTCTTCTCCGTCTCCTCCTCGGACTTGGTGTCCAAGTGGGTGGGCGAGAGCGAGAAGCAGGTGCGAGCGCTCTTCGAGTCGGCGGAGCGGCGGAAGCCCGCCATCATCTTCATCGACGAGGTGGACGCGCTCGCCTCTGCTCGCAGCGAAAACGAGGCCGAGGCGTCGCGCCGGCTGAAGAACGAGCTGCTTGTGCGGATGAGCGGGGTGGGGCAGGGCGTGCTCGTGCTGGGCGCGACCAACGTGCCGTGGGAGATCCGCCCTAGACGCCGCAAGATCGCTGCGGGATCGCACCCTCTGCGGTTCACCTCGGCTTCTCTGGGGGGAGAGGGGGGGTGAAGCCGTGCTTCTTAACCTCGGCGAACCTCGGCGAACCTCGGCTAACCTCGCGGAGGTCGCCTCTCCCAGGAGCTAGACCCGGCCGTGCGGCGGCGGTTCGAGCGGCGGGTGTATGTCCCTCTGCCCGACGAGGAGGCGCGGCTCGCCCCTCGTCTCGCTCTTGCACACGCGCAGCCTCACCGTGCTTGACACGTCTGTCACACACGCCCCTCCCCTCTCCATGACACGTCACCACCACCGCAATGTCGCCTCCGTGACACGTCCGCGACACGTCCGCGGACACACGCGCGGCTGCCGCTCTCCACGCTCCACTTCCGGCCAGAACCCGCTCATGACGCTGCATCGAAGCTTCTCGGAACCTCCCTGAGCCTCCCCTGAGCCTGCACTGACCCTTCGTCCCTCCCCACAGGCGCGGCTCACGCTGCTCAAGCTGCACCTCGGCAGCACGCCCCACAGCTTGAGCGAGCAGCAGCTGCGCGCCCTCTCGCGGCGCCGCCAGCCCTTGCCTGCGAAAGCCCCGTCGGCCAACGAGCTCACTCACTAGTCATGGATGACTCAGGCGCACCGCCGGACTCTCCGGCGCAGACCTGTCCGTGCTGGTCCGCGACGTGCTGGCTGCGCCGCCGCGGGAGCGGCGGACAGCGTCTCTCCACGGCTGTGCGTGTGTGTGAACAGGTCCGCGACGCGCTGATGGCGCCGCTGCGCGAGCTGCAGAGCGCGACACACTTCCGCCAGCTCACCGACGGCTGCTGGGCGCCGTGCAAGCCGAGCGAGCGCGGCGCCAAGAAGCTGTCGTTGCTCGAGGTGCCTGCGCAGGCGCTGCGCACGCCTCCGGTGACGCACGCGCACTTTGACGCCGCCGTCGAGAGGTGCCGCGCCCCGCCCGCGGGCACCGGACTCTTGCACCTTCAGCGCCGTGGATGCGGGGTGCGGCCGCCCCGACTCCAGCACCTGCCTTGCCCAACCCCTCTCCTTGCCTTGCTCAGGTGTCGCCCCACCGTGGCGCAGAGTGAGCTTGCCAGACACGAGCAGTTCACACGAGAGTTCGGAGCCGGCAACGCGGTGTGATGTGGTGCGTGGCACTTTCTGTGACGTGTGTGAGGGGGACACTCCGGGCGCAGCCGTCACCGTTATGTTCGCGCAACGCGCACGGCGCAAAAGGTCCACAAAGCGCGCGAGTGACGAGTGCGCCCCCCCGATGTGTTGGTGAGTTTACGGATATACAGATCAGTACGCATACGGCGTGACCTTTCGCTTGTGACTAAAGCCGTACCTGACTACTCGCGCGGAGCTCGGTGAGACCGGGCGGTGTCTTTTTGTGTGTCGTGTCACGCGCGCACCCGCGTGTTGCGTTCTCTCGCGTCAAGGGGTCGAAAGGTGGGCACTCGAGTTGCGACACCCAGGGACATTTGTTACGTAACAGGTTTCATCAAGAACACGGCGGCGGGCGATGCATCGAACACAATTCTAGCCGAACGCATTCAATTCACGACAGCCGTGCGCGGCATATGTCTGGTATCGACTACCCACCATTCTCCATGACGACCGTCTTCAGGTCGCCGCCGATAACGCCGGTTGCGGACGAGGAGGTGGCCGAAGCGGTGGAGCAAACGACTAGGTCCGCGGTGTCGGCCTCACTCCTCCGCGCATGCGCCCTCTGCAGGTGCTCGATGGCCGAAACGCTCGTGCTGGCAAGGGCAAAGCAGGCGAGGAGCAAAAATGCGCCGGAGAAGTCGCTCACGGTGAAGGTGGCGGCATCACCCGCATCTGCATAGTCCCTGCACACAGATATGGGCGGGCGCAGCGATGCCTCCCAAGACCGCATGACCTTCTGAGCGTGGTAGACTACGGGCTGCTTTACGCTCTCCGCGATGGGGAAGCCAGTCTGGACAGTGTGCACGGGACGACCGACGGCGGCCAACGAGCAGTATCGGGTGGATGCGGCGTGCAGCACATGCAAGTCCTCAATGTCGGTGACAATCGCGTTGCAATCGCCCAACAGCAGCGCGTCAAAGGCGGAGTTCCGCTGGTGGAAGCCGGGAAGGATCTCCATGCTCGGATAGGCGTCCACCAGAAAGGCATGGATGTAGTCCGGGGCGCAAAAGACGTGGTGCCGTGATATGGCCTCCTCGATGTCACTGACGGGCGTACTTTGCGCGTCGATGATGAGGAAGGCGGCGACGGATGCGGTGTATCCGGTGCCGACGACGAAGAGGAAGAAGGTGAGGCCGAGACCGGTGAGTCGACTGCTCAGGCGCATCCCGCCCTGGTGGCTTAAGTCGCCGCCCAGGACGCCCATGGCGCCGAGCCATGCTGCGCGGCCTGAAAGGACGGGCAACGAGCCCGTCTCAAAATCGCGGCCGGCGGCGGACCGATCCTGGGCCGCGAGGAGGAAGGAGGCGCCGATCGCTGCGACAAAAATTAGCACCCACAGTCTGAGTGTGAAGGGCGCGAGCACTGCGCTGACGTGGCTGCTGATGGATTTGTCGTTGCGTGCGTGGGCTGTCTGGACGATAAGATAGTAATTCGTGGGGCGGACCGCGTGGAAGCTCGCAAGAGCGGAGCGTTCCAACGACATGATAAACTCGCCTAGGCACAGGTCGACATAGCCCAAGCCAGCATAGAAGACGCACTCGGTGAAGGCGGAGCGGACTTTGCTGTAGTTGCTCTTTGATGTGGCAAATGCGGCCGCGTTGCGCCGCACAGGCTCTGGGATGTCAGCCTCGGCGGTGATGTTGATGACGGCGCCGCTGCTCGTCGAGATCTGGTCCAGCAGCCTCGGAAATGGTCCGTGCCACTGCTCGTCGCGGTGGTCGCTACCTCCCAGCGGGTGGAAGGCGCCAATCCATCCTCCGCTGTTGTGACGGTACATGACTCGGAGGACCGCGTCTTGAAGGGCAACCTCGAGGTGCTGCAACGACTGTGTATAGTAGTCAATCTCACCGCACGCCGCGTAGCTGTAGGCAATACCGTGCTCACCAGTCATGTGCAGCACGGAGCACTCATCCCTCTTGACGTAGCACCAAGAGCGGCTGCAGTGTTTGTAGTCAGAGCAGTATGAAGGTCGCGGAGCCACGGTGTCGCAGAGCGCACGCTGGTTGGCGCATTTGGACAAGTCGACATCGTGCGGCGCACAGCCAAGGCCATACGTGGATGAGGAGAGCAGTGAGCGCAGGCGCTCAGACGCGTGAGTGGTGAGGCAGGGGCAGCTATCCGGGCCCATGTACAGGGCCCGGATAGAAAATCGGTGCCATTTCTGTTTCACAAATAAATAAATAAAACGGAGACCTCTAGGCTAGGGATCGGCCTTCCCCGACGCGGATCTTGCCACAAAGGACGCGAGGCTGCCCGGAGAGATTCGTGCCGGCAGCAGACAGGGTGAGACAACGACGGGATGCGATCCGAGAAGCCGAGAGGGATCAAGAGGCCACGGTGGTGGGCGAGAAGGCGGTCCTGGCGGAACTTAGGGCGATCGGTCTGTCGGTCGCGGACAGCACCGGCGTGCTCAGGCCAGTACAGGCACGAGAGGTGCGGGGCCTGGCTAAACGACTGGTGGGCTCGACGGACCTTCTTGGACAGGTTTTCCGGTGGGAGGGGGAGGACTACCTCGTCAACGACATCGCACCGGGGCCGACACAGGCGGGGGGACAGGCGATGAAGGCGTACGCCTGCTGTGTGAAGAGGCGGGTGGCATCGGCGGGCCCGCTGTCTGAACACAACTCGGCCTTTGATATCCGGTCGGTGCGGGCCCGAATCGAGGAGGACCGGTCGAGGGGGGAGGCGACGCGGTTACTGGGCAGTCTACGACCCGTCGCGGAGCGACGGGAAGGAGAGGCGGGGCCGTCGGGGAATCCGGGTCCTGCCCCCCCCCCCTCCCGTGGGGAGACGAGAGCTAGGCCCTCCCCCACGAACGGGGTGGACGGCCGACGCGTGGAACCACGGCTGGAATGGCCGCAGGGGCAGGGGGCATCCCCCGAGACCCCGCCCCAAGAGCTGCGGCGGCCGACGCCGCCACCAGGCCCGCCCCCGCCACCACCGCCTCCGCCCCCGCCGCTGGAGCGACCGCTGGGTCGAGGAGCCGCCCCTGAGGTCCCACACCAGGCGGTGCGGCCGCCAGTGCCGCCATCGTTTCCGCCACCCGCACTGCCACTTCCGCCCCCACCACTGGAACGGCTGCAGGGTCGTGGGGCCGCCCCAGCGGCTCCATACCAGGCGTTTTGGCCGCGAGGGCCGCCACCGTGCCCGCCGCCCCTGCCACCGCCTCCACCCCCGCCACCGGCGGGGCCGCCGCCGTATGGACCCGCTCGGAATAACCTGGGGGGCCCGGGACCGCCCCGCCGGAGGCTGGTGTGCCCGGGAGGAGGAGATGGGGGAGGGGAGTCGCTGCAATACGATAACGGACCCGCCGGCGAACCGGAGGGCCGTGGCCGGAGGGCCCCGGGGGGGGCTTGGGGTCAACTTTCGGAGGAGGTGAGAGTCGAGCTGACTCGGCCTCTGCGAGTGGAACCGGGCCGTGTGAGCCCACCAGGGGTAGACCCGTCGCGGCGTTGGATAGACCGCCGTGACTCACGACAAAAGGGACCGCGCCTTCCCGAGTTTAGTGAGGAGCAGGATGAAGGGGAGGGCGAGCCGAGGACGATAGAGAGGCCACGGGCGCGGGCGCGACTCGCTGACCGGGGAGAGCCGGCCCGACCTCCCGGAGAGGAGTGGCGACGAGTGATGCCGCCGCCCTCACCCGGGGAGTCGGGCGTGGGATCGCCGGAGGCGGAGTCAACAGGATCAGGCAGAGAAGACGAGACGGCGGCGGGGCCGCAGCCGAAAAAGGCTAGGAGGGGAGGTCGGGCCCCGCGCCCGTCGCACAACTATCGGGATGCGGCCAGGAGGAAGGACCGAGAGGTGGGGGAAGACGCCCCGGAGTGAAAGTTGGGAGACCTCGAAGAGGGGCCCGGTGTGGTGAGGTGCCGGGTGTGGATGGGCGTCGAGTCCGTGTCGAGTGTTTACTAGCTCCGAGTAGAGGGGGCGTTCTGCTGCTAGGGGAAACCTGGAGCGCGGAGCTAACCCTCGGAGACCCGTGTTTACTTTACAGCCCTTGCCCTGCGAACGCGCACCCCCCCTAGCTAGGGGTCAGGGCTCTCTAGCCCGTAGCCCGATCCCGATCATCCGGCCCGCTGGGTGCGCTTCTGAGCTCCCCGGCCCTGGATGTGAGGTTAATGACTGCACTCCAAAGTGCTCCAAGTGCTACTAGGAGATGGGTAAAAAGGAACAGGTCTGTTTCACACATCGCCGTGCGTTTCTTAAATTCATTTCTTGTCAAGGTCTCTCTCCAGAGCATATTTTTCTCGTGTACGTATGCAAGGCCCACGGCGTGCCCCACGGACCGCATGACCACATATTGACAGTCACCTCCCTCTCTCACATGCTCGACCCGCCGGGCCCACATCATTCATCTCCACAGCCCAAGTTCAGCGCGCCCTCACGTTCCTCGAGAAAGCCCCGCCCGCCTCGCTTTTGGCGCGGGCGGCCGGGGCCTCAACCAAGCGCGCGCAGCTACTCCGACCCGCCGGCCCCATGCAGCACATCCACCGCACGCCCACAGGGTCAACTGAGAAGAGCAAGTCACAGACAGAACACAGCAGCGTCAAAACAGCCCACCAGGCCCGCCGGGGTAGTTTGGCGGCAAGCCGCCGCTCGGCGGGATGCGCGGGGCGCCGGGCTGGTCGCGCTCCACCGGGATTGGGATCGCCTGCTCCTGCATCCGCTGCTGCGGCGACTTGGTCGGGATGAGCATCCCGCCTGCGAGGCGGAGCAGAGGGGCGGGGCGGGTGGGAGGGGGCGGGCCCGTGCACAAGGGAGTGCACAGGGGACGCGGCGCGTCAGCGCGACCACGAGGCGCGGCACGAATACGGTGGCGTGGATGCCGATGGCGCACCGCTGAGAGCGCGTCCTCTCGAGCGCTGGCTTGCGCGTGTTTCGCATGCTACAGGGGGGCCGCGCGCCAGAGCAGCAGACAGACGCGACGATGAGGTCGCAGCAGACCATCGGCGCCTCGCAGTCGTAGGAGGACTCGCACTGCTGCGGCGCCGAGACCGACTCGAAGGGGTTGAAGAACCGGCCCCGCTTCTCCTCCTCCCTCCCGCGCCGCAGCTCCGCCAGCTCCCTCGCCTATGGGGGTCACCGGGCGAGGGTGTCGAGGGGGAGAGCGAGGGGAGGGGGCGAGTGTGTGGCGAGCGACAGGGGCGACAGGGGTCGGCGGGGGGGGGGGGGGGGGTCCGCCGGGGGGGGGGGTCCGCCCCCCTTTGGAAGATTCTCCTCCCTTTCCCTTGGGGGGGGGTTCATTGGAATTTCAAACATCCTCGGTTGGCCCGGGGGGCGGGGGCTACCCCGCAAAAAAAAAGAAGAAGGGGCGGCGGCCGGGGCGGCCTCCTCGCTTTGGCTCCCGGCGGGGCGGCCCCCCGGGAAGGAGCTCAAACCCCCCAGCTTTTGGATGGCTGGGCCGGGGGCAAGCACCCCCGCCAACCTGGGGGCGAAGTCCAACCGGCCCACCGCGGGAAACTGGGGAGGAAGGGTTTGGGGGGGGGTAAAGGGGGAAGGGGGGAAAGGGTTAAAAGGGGG